CACTGAACTGTGAATAAGAGGCGAATGGCCAGCTACATCATATAAATATAGTCATTCCAATATTTTTAATTGCAACAAAACTGGACTATTTTACAAGTGCTAACAAAAACCTTGTCATCTTAAAATGAAAGATGTAAGGGAGGAAAATAGATGAAAGAAAAAATTACTATATTGTTGTGCAGAAATATGACAGAACTAAAAATTAGTTGTCGTCGGTCAAAGAAAAAATCCCATGCATATTTAAAAATATTTGAGTAATAGTAAAATTATATTACTATTGGCACATTATTAGTAGTACATTATAGTAAAATAAATAAATCATTATTACACTGCTAAAATCTCGTAAGCAACATAACAGACAAATTATTCTTATGATATAACAAGCTTGGTCAAGCCAATCTGATAGCACGCTCCACAAAAGCAAATCAAAATCAAATACAGGTAGCCCTCGGTTTACGCCAGCTCAATTTAAGCTGAATCACAATAACGCTGCTGCACAATTTGCCGTTTTGCGGTGTAATTCCCCGATTTTTCCCTATGCTAGACTGATTTTCATTTCAGTGTTGACGTATTTACCGAGCCGCAACATTGTACATTCGTTAAAACAAAGATTTTTATTGAATATATTTATTTTTTCTGTTTAATATTATTGGGTATGTATACNAGGCTTAGTTCTAGTGATGGGAATATCGATAACCCGCAAAGCCGATAATGATATCGAACTAGGTTTAAAGTTTCGCCTTTCGGGTTCAAAAGTCATAACAGGGAAGGTTGTTTTAGAGATACTCGTGCGAAGAAACCTACGTAACATTTCCTCTTTTAACAGCGTGGGAATCCAACCCAGCGAGGCTGTAATTCACCGGACCCCAAAACTTGCAGTTTAGATTTGAAAGCAAGATAATAATCAACTCAGAAATTACCAAATACAACTACGCGCGCAAATTCATAATGTAACTTGTTTGTTTATTTATTATTTTACTTACTCGATACGTCCTAAACTCTGCATTACTTAACCCACTAACTTAATACGTTGTAAAAACTATTTTTCGCGGAGGAAAGAAAAACGTTAGCTTTGCCAGGATTGAGCCGGAGAGCCTGTTTCGTCTCCGCTTTCGAAAATGATCTTTCCGACGGAACAGAGCTTTTTATATTTGGGAATAAGGCGGACAAATGTTCCCATTCTTCATTTAACGGGCAGCATTTACGGTCTATCAAATTTCGATATAGGTAATGTTTTAACTCTGTAAACGAGCTACCCGAGTCTCCGTGTTTCGGTTCCTGTCTGCTTCGCGGCTAGAGGGATGTGGAAGCTCCAGATATCGTCACTGTTAGTTAACTTCTAACTGATGCTCATTCCGTTCATTACTTGTTCTCGCAATATCTTTTAGGGTCTCGTTGATGCCAGGTATTGCCCGTGAACGAGCTATTGGTGAATCAAAATGCAACCTTTAAATCGCGGATCGAGTATATTAGAAATAGCGAGTGGTTGCTTTCGGCCAGGGCTGTGGAGTCCGAGTCGGAGTCGTGGAGTTTTGGTGTTTTAGCCGGAGTCGGAGTCGGTAGATTTTTATGCGACTCTACAGCCCTGGCAGGGCTGTGGAGTCGGAGTCGTGGAGTTTTGGTGTTTTAGCCGGAGTCGGAGTCGGTAGATTTTTACGCGACTCCACAGCTCTGCTTTCGGCATCCTTAAAATAGTCTGCCCGGGAATTCGTCGTGGCAACCCGAAAATTTTTCCCTATTGTTTCCGAAGGAGTTCTGGCAGCTGTGGCTTTAGTCACACAACTTATCATTGGTAGGACAGAACTGACTAATATATTTTTCACCCGAAGTCTGTTTCGTTAGCTGATCGAGTGGTTTCAAATCGTGTAAGTCGCAGTCTGGCAGTTCGCGAGATAGCGCAACAACGCTGAACGTCGCTTTCCTTTGTCTCCTCCCCTGCCAATTCACAGTTTTCACCGATATATCGATATTCCAATCTCAGCATTACTTAATTCTGCGAGTTTCCCAGCGTACAAGGAGTACGATGATTCCTTGGCGCAAAAAGCGGTATGATTCAAGCTCAAAAGTGTCATTTATGACTCTTTTACACTATTCGTCATCTATATTAATATTATAAAGAGGTAATGTTTGTAAGTAAGTTATGTATGCAAGTTTGTTTGCAGCGGGTAATCTCCGAAACTACTCATCCGATTTCAAAAATTCTTTCAACAATATTTAGAATGGAACCTCGGGGTGGACATAGGCTGTATATTATTCCGTTAAACATTCATATAAATTAAAATATATAATCTAGGTTGACTTTTATGTCCAACAGATGGCGCTACGACGCCGCTAAGTTTGCTTTTCTGTGAAAATGAACTAAAGCGGATCATCTTCTATTTATATAAATAAAAATGTAATGTTCGTTTGTTCCTACCGATTCCTTTGAAATTTTGACACGATGCTGCATTCGAATACGCACGTGTTTTTATATAATATACGTGTCGAAATTCCTCCACTGAAGGGAGATGGTTAGGATTAAGGCTTACCGTAAAGAACTCTGCTTCTATTTATACTATTTTGGATGCGGTTTTTTGCCTTTTAATAGGGTACGTCAACAGAATGTACAATTAAGAAGAAATTTTTCGAAAAATTCTCCCCTCCAAAGGGAAGTGTTATAAATTTATAATAGATACATTTTGAGCCACAACGCGTGGCGGGGTCTGCTAGTCGGCTAATATTGGGTTTATGGATAAAGTATGTGGATATTGCGGTGCTCCGAAGTGGAAGAATGAATCACGGAGATGCGGAAAAGTCAAACTGGATGTTCTTGCCCCCAACCTCATCACTATTAAATGGGAGTGGTCCCGCCACTAAACATTTCTTAACGAGTCACCGGGCCTCGAACGCAGCTATTAACGTCACAAACCAACAGATTTGCAACTACCAACGTAGCTGCAGATCTCTGTTCGTTTGTGCCCCTAATAAAAAAACACGAAATATTGTATATTAAATAAGTAAATATAATTTCGCGGCTAGTATACGATAAAGATTTCGAATGTGACAAACGTACTTATACAGATGTATATGCCCACGGTGACCAAACTGCCAGTCCCCTATATTTGTACCATCTTTTTCTTTACGCTCGAAACCCTCTATTTGCACGTACAGTACGTAAGGTTAAAATTTTCGTAACTTTGCTGTTCAATATGTAGTGTTAAATACATACGGATTGTAAGCGTTTGGCCACACTCGATATATACATTATCTAAGAATTCATTCTTCATCCAGTGTTATGTAGATGCGCACTATCTACACTGGTTTCCAATGTGGGTTCTAGTTATCGCACTGGGAGTATCGATGCCTGGAAAACTCCGTATCTTTTTAGGGTGGTAAAAATTTTAGTTTGTCAGTTTGCCTGTTTATTCGCTTTTATATAAACCATGATAGCGTAAGTAGCGACAAACCTACTCCAGAAAGGCGATTTTGGTGAACCTGATCAAAATGACATATACAGTACGTATTTTTCCTCACCCCAGACAAAATCTCGACGGTGTCCTTGCTTCTAACGCGCGATAATCTTCACACTTTTAAGTCATCCCTTGTCAAAATGTACATTCCTGGAATCCGCCATTGCTAGAAACCTAAGTGTTGAACGCCGCACATCAACGATAAGCGGGTTTTTTACATTCGATCGTCGATTTTTCTAAATTGAGGGTGCGGAGACTCCGCAATTAATTAATTAATTCGTATCATTCAGCTGGGTAAATCAATTGTCGCAAAGTTTGTTTGCATCTTCGCTATAGTACTGTACAGTACTTATTCGTTGCGCTTATCGCAACTTACTACCACGTATTATAAGTCAGCAAGAAAAATATTTATTCCGTTATCTCGTATAAAACAATACAGCTGTGATAATTAAATGTACAGTAATTATCTACCAGCAATTATTTATTGAGTCACGATGCCTGGCTGCAATTTTTAATCACGTTTTAAATTTATTTCAATTAAAATATGCTCTCGCTTCAAATTAGTACCGTAGTGTCTTGCCTCCGTACGTCACACTTTTCCGTTAGCGACGGAGGTGTGCCGGTCATCTATTAACTGCTTTCGGGGGAAAAGTTTTCAATGGAAATAACGTGACTCGCAGTTTGCGTGGGAAGTTCGTATATAGTTACTCGGGGCCCGTCCATAAGCTTTCCATATCTGGTCTCGACTTTTGTCTAACTCCGTTCTCGAGATTAAGGAAGGGCAGACGGTGGGGATATTTTTTGAAATTGTAGCCCAATTAAGAGTTGATCTTGGCACACCACCGAAGTAGGCTGTAGTACGTGGGTAAATATCAAAAATATATTATTTCTACATTAATTTTTTCTACTTACAGTATAGTCCAATACAGAACATTCTATAGAAAGTAAAAATAAAATCTAATTTTCCTAAGCGTAAAATTTTTCGTAGTTTAATTTCCAATAAATACGATGTTAAATCAATTTAATATACAGACGATTTCTTTTCAAATATATAAAAACTGTCTAAAGACAGTATTAACATAGGCTCTTCCAGAAATTTTATAGTTTTGTTGTTGTTATTGTAAAAGTACTTTATTCACATAAGAATGAGTTAATAAAATATTTTTAATTTGGATGACGTCAGCAACAGTCAAGGAATCATTGCTACGTTTCATCGTTCGTTTACTTGCTCAACATTTTCACTTTGGCACTCTCGGTCATCCGCCGAAGTACAATCGCCGGGCTCCACGATTACGGTTTCGGGTTTGGTCAGTTTGTCTCGCTTTTTCAATTCGCAGGCTTTCTTGTAAGGAGGATCGATGGGAATCTGAACGGGCGAGCGATATTCGTATTCTCTGCCTTCGATGTCTAACGGGTAGGACCTGTCCGCGTCGAAACCGCTGAGGTCTCCGCAGGCGATGAAAGGAACCACGGTGCGATTGGGACCGTCGACGTGCTCCACAGGATAAGAAAACCGTCCGTCCAATAAACTTAGCACGGTCGGCACGTAACCTTCCGGAGGAGAATAATTCTGACACACGACAAACGCTTCTATGCTGGAATTTCTACTACTTCGAGGTTTTGCCACGAAAACCGCGGGGAAAAATATTTTTAACTGGCAGTAGAGCAGATTTATGTCTTTACCTCTGAATATCTTTGCCACGAAGGTGCCGCCCTTTTTCAGCACGTGGGTCGTTATATTTAAAGCGGCCAGCAGCAGTTGTCCCTGTATGTATTCGTCTATGTCGTGTAGTCCGGTGACGTCGGGAGCGCCGTCGCACACCACCAGATCCGCGCTCTCCCCCTCGAAGTGACCGATTATTTGCTGCGCCGTCGACAGTTTCGTAATGTCCCCTTGAATCTGTATCACTCCGGGTAACGGAGCCATGGCCTGTAGATCCACGGCCACGATCTTGACGTCCCGATCGTCCGACCCCGTTCGCAGTTTCCGCGACAAAACTTGGCTCCAGCTTCCGGGAGCGGCGCACAGATCCACCGCCCGCTTGCAGTCTTCGAAGATGTTAAATTCTTCGTTTATCTGTAGCAATTTAAAGGCGCTTCTCGCTCTCCACCCTTCTTCCTTCGCCAGTCTGTAGTAGATGTCTCTCTTGTCTTTCGACGATCGTCCCATTCTGACCGCTAAATTCCCTGAAATAAAGAAATTGTCATTTATAAAGTATTATCTTCAATTATATGCGCTATGTTAAACTATTTAATTATACGTCGGCAATCGTATAACCTGAATTATTAATATTAAACGTAACTAAATTAGCTTTTGGTTTAACCGTTTCAATTTATTTACTATGTCAAATATATGCATAATCGCTACTCGTAAACATATATCTATACAGTATTATAAAGGCCTGCACGATCACGTCACTATGGGCGATATATACTGTCTCTTCTTTTCTGATTAGTTCCTGCCTCTGCATGTATTGAGTGTGACCCGGGAAAGGGAAGGCTCTAATTTGCCCTTAGAATGTTTATATCGCAAATCCAGATCCTTCTTTACCGAATTATTTTTCTCCCGCGGCCAAAATTTGCTTTATAGCAAGCTGTTACGTCGTAAGTTAATCAAAATGGTAAATCGTTGTTTTAATGGTGACCGGTTTCGTTGGGTTGAAAAATTGTTTATCTTTTTTAACTATTTATTCGTACAGTTGGATCCGTACTATTTTAAATGATAAATTACTTTTATGAAAAACATTGGTTGTCTTCACCGATCGATAAAATCTGTATGTTTATCTTGCTTCCTGCTGAAAATAAAATGAACGGCAGAAAGAAAAAGAAATATGTACCGACGAAAACTGATAAATAAAGTATATTTAAACACGATAAGAATAATATGTGATAAATGGACCGTTGACCAATTATTGGAGTGGTTCGAGGGTCGAAACTCGGAGACCCACAAAAGAATTATCAAACATTATAAAAGTCGGTTGTTTGATATAATGGACTATTAGCGAGGTTGAGGCCGAAGTTTTAAACGCGAAAACGTGTACGTCGGAGTTCACCGCCGCTTTCACGTAAGCCTAGAAGTTTGACAATGGTGTTTGGATTGTCGAGCATGATTCCACTGACTATGCAAACACCATTGTCAAACTTCTAGGCTTAGGGGAAAGCGGCGCCGAACGTCCGACGTACACGTTTTCGCGTTTAAAACTTCGGCTTCAACCTCGCTATTGGTGTTGGTCCATTCAAACCTAATGCTTTTGTATAGTATTTAAATGTCTACTCGGACTAATTTTATTAACAGGACGTATTATACCGACGTCTTTGTTCAGCAAAAGTTAAGAAAGCCTATCAGAGAAAACAGTCTTTATTTTTCACATGTACTGTACAGTACACTTTATACACGATATTGTGTTTCGGACTAGTTCGTCCCTCATCAGCAGGTCTACATTCAATATTTTAGTTTTTCGATTTTTAAACATTTCGAAAATCAGAATTACCAACAGAGCCACTTTTATTATAATTCTTAGATACCTATTACTAGATGCTCTCTCTCTTATATCCCCAGTCATTCCTTCTGTCGATAATTCTATTCCATGATTGGTAGATATATCTTCCCATATTGTTGTTCATTCTGTTCTGTTGTCTCGCTATGTAAATGTGTTCGTATAATTGCCTTTTGAAATTATTCTTTTCTTTTTTCTTTATTTTTACAGTACTCAAATCTATTTCACACTCATTCGTATTACAACGTTCTGCTACTGCAGAATTTGCATAATTATTTTTAATGTTCTTTTAAACATATTTTCAATTTTCTTTTTGTTTCTCCTATATACCTACTCCTATGTTTTCTTTTGTTCACAATTACAATTAAACGAATATACCACACCTTTTTCTTCTGTAATCTCGAATTTTTTTTATCATTTCTATAAAATAAATATTTTTTGGTTGAATCTGTTTTTTTCTGGTATTAAATTTATTTTACCAGCAATTACTTTTTTAACTCTTTCAAATAATTTGGGTATATATATATCAATTTTACAAACTGTTTTTCTTTATAAAATTGTTTTCTCGGCTGTTCTTCATTTCATAATTTTTGTATCCATTTTTTCAGTACAAATTTTGGGTAATCATTTAATATGAACATTTTGACTATTTCTTCTATTTCCTGAATTTGAGTTTCTATTTCAGTTGTTCTGTTTTTTTATTTTATCCACATACATTTTAAATATATTGTATTTCATACTTATTGAAACAGTTGATTTATAATTAATTACCTTAGATATTTGCATAGACTTTACATATTTTTTTTATATATTAATTTATCATTTTTTCTTTCTATTGTTATGTCTAAATAGTTAAGACTGTTCTGTTTTAATTTCAAACTGTATGTTTCCTTTTATGGTGTTTGCTTGTTCTAATACTATTTGTTCTAACATATTAAATTCTATACTATGAGATCATAT